AAGAAGAAGAAGAAGAAGAAGAAGAAGAAGAACAAGAACAAGAAGAAGAACAAGAAGAAGAAGAAGAACAAGAACAAGAAGAACAAGAACAAGAAGAACAAGAAGAAGAAGGAGACTGACTAATAAAGGAAAGGTAATTTCAAGAGAGAAAGAATAAAATATATGAAGACATCTTGTATGGAACATAAAAATTTCTGTTTATTGGGTATGCCAAAATGGAGACCCTTTAAGAAATTAAGTTCATATATATAAATATATATATATATATATATTCATGCAATATACATAAATTACAAACACATATCTATACTTATATCTCTATCTATCTCTCTATTTATCTGTCTGTCTATCTATCTATCTATCTATCTATCTATCTATCTATCTATCTATATCTACCTACAGCCTGGAGATTGATTGTTAGGTAATATTGTTATGAAAGTATCACAGATTCTGCTTAGAAAATTTAAAATAGATACAATGGTACTTGGCGCACTGCACCATAAATTGCTGCTGCCACCATCACATATGACATCAATGCTGGACTCAAATGGCATTTAGTTACACGTAACTATATATAGACCTCAACAGAGATATTTTTAGTCAACTCTAATTATCCATGATTTCTGAATCTAAGGAGTCAAGAAACCGTGAATCACAAACAGTCAAATCTTCCATAAATTCCATAAAGCAAAATTTCAATCTGCCACAATTTAGAAACTATACCAAAACTCCACGAATATCGCGATACGTGAGCAGTTTCCCCTGAGCTCTCTCACGTCACAGACCCTCAGTCTCCCCCTAATACCAACTGCTGAAGCGCTGATTCATGCCTGTTTAATGCAGTATTAGTTATACAACTTAACTAGACCACTGTTTAAACATTAGCATGAAAATAATTTCATATTAATTAAGATATTTTGTTCCCTAATAGGATCATAGTCAGATAATTTCTTCTTCACCACCTATCTTATAAAAAAGTAAATTTATCCTGTAGTCGTTTTAAGTTTGCAAAATGTAACTGATCCAAATCCTTCTGAGTCACAGGTCCAGGGAAGCAGGCAGATACTTCATGGACATATCTTAAGAGCAGTGTAAGGAAATTTTATCATCATTTTTTGAGTTTCTTTACTTTAGAAGTCTTCCGTGTTCCTAGTCTGCACAAAATAACACATGAAGTTGTTTGATACTATGTCCTCTATCAGATAAATAAGAAATGTGACTTGCAACAGAATCTACTTTTCAAATTTGCCAAGTAAGGAAAAATTTATGACAAAGTTCAAATGAAATCTCCCTTGCGTGGAAATTTACATTCAGGGTTTATTCAAATGTGTCATTTAAACACCAAAATTAGGGAAATAGTTGGACTTGTTTACATATACCTCTAACCCTAGAATGTTTGAAACAAAAGTGGTCAGATCTATGTGACTCTGAGACTAGCCTGGTCTATATAGCAAATGTCAGGCCAGCCATGGATATAAAGTGAGATCATACTGCAAGCAAAACTACACCCCCCCCCAAAAAAAAACATTGAAAAGTCAGTATTGAATATATTTGCAATTTTGTTAAGTCTATAATTTCTGAAAACTAAATACATGTCTTTCAAGTAGATATTAAGAAAAAATATTCTTAGAAAAAATCTAAGTGCTTCTTTTTTTAAAAAAATACTTACATTTCCTTCTTTTTGTTGCTGGAATCATTTTTAATTGATTTTATTGAGCTATACATTTTTCTTTGCTCTCCTTCGTTCCTCTCCCCTCCCATTCAACCCTCTCCCATTGTCCGCATGCTCCCAATTTACTCAGGAGGTCTTTTCTTTTTCTACTTCCCACATAGATTACATCCATGTATGATTTTCTTAGGGTCCTCATTGTTGTTTATGTTCTCTGATATTTTGATATATAGGCTGGTTTTCTTTGCTTTATATTTAAAAGCCACTTAAGAGTGAGTACATATGATAATCGTCTTTCTGGGTCTGGGTCATACCACTCAGTATGATGTTTTCTAGATTTAATTTCAAGATATCATTATTTTTTTCTGCTGTGTTAGCCAGAACCTGGAAACTACCTAAATGCTCCTAGACCAAAGAATGGATAAGGAAAATGTGGTATATTTACACAATGGAGTACTACACAGCAGGAAAAAAATCATTTTATTCTAAAAGAGGGTTAAACTTGTAAAGAAGTATCTTTGCATAAAGTTATATTTTCAATTCTTTCTTCTGTGATATAAGATTTATATCTGTAGTCACACACTGCCCCGGTTATCCTGCCAACTGGACCCATCTAATGCTGTCTGAAGCAAGTGTCACTTGAGAAACTGACTATTGGGTGTATCTGTGCGGGTTATCTTGACTCTTCATTGCTGTCACTGTGGGCAGCACCATTCCTTAGGCAGGAGTCTTGGGCTGTATAAGGAAACTAGCTGATAGTGCAAATGAAAACAAGTGAGTGCATGAACCAGCAATTATCCTTCATGGTTCTTGCCTCTATTCCTGCCTTGTTTTCTAGCCTCACCTCCTTCAGAAATGGGCAGCGACATGGAATTATAATGTGAATAAACCCTGTCCTCTCCAAGTTACTTTTGGTCAGACTGTTTTATCAGAGAAGTAGATAGGAAACTAGAAGGACACCACCCCCTACCTGTAGCCTTACTTTGAGTAGTTTTAGTTACTCACTATTAGATCACTGTCTGGATATTGGAAATAAAAGGTTCCAGAAATGCAATCCTTAAGATTCTTTTTCTTTATAAAAGAAAGCATTTATTTAATTAGGGGGCCTTATTCCACAGGGCGAATCTATGACCATTGTTGTGGGGATCATGGTAGCAAGATGGCATGGTCCTAAATCAATCTGGCGAAGGATGGAGATAGAGACAGAGACCCACATTGGAGCACTGGACTGAGTTCCCTAGGTCCAAATGAAGAGCAGAAGGAGGGAGAAAGTGAGCAAGGAAGTCAGGACCGCGAGGGGTGTGTCCACCCACTGTGATGGTGGGACTGATCTAATGGGAGCTCACCAAGGCCAGCTAGACTGGGAGTGATGGAGCATGTGATCAAACTGGACACTCTGAACATGGCTGGCAATGAAGGCTGACTGAGAAGCCAAGGACAAAGGCACTGGGTTTTGATTCTGCTGCATGGACTGACTTTGTGGGAGCCTGGTTTGTTTGGATGCTCCCCTTTATAGACCTGGGTGGAGGAGGGAGGACCTTGGACTTCCCACAGGTCAGGGAACCCTGACTGCTCTTAGGACTAGAAAGGGAGGGGGTGGGGGGAGAGGGGGAGAAAAGAGAGACAGGGAGAAGATGGAAATTTTTAATAAATAAATAAATTTTTTAAAAAAGAGCAAGACCAATTTTTAAACAATTTTGGGAGGAGAACATTTTTAAAATGTAAAATGGAACTTTAAATCAGAGGTTTGTTTATAATTATTGTTTTCTATGGGTTTTCAATTGCTTCAAGATAACATGTTAACAACAACAACAAAAAAGAACTTTACATCGTGATCCAAAGGCAACAGGGAAGGAAAAACCTGAGCCTGGTGTGAGCTTATGAAACCTCAAAGCCTACCACAGTGATACACTTTCTTCAGCAAGTACACACTTATTCCAAATTTTCCAAAAATGTCAAAACTTGTGATTAGGCCTTTAAATATATGAACTTATTAAGGCCATTCCTATTCAAACCACCACAGGTAGGCAAATGATTAAGCAAAGAACTCAAATAACTATTTTGTTATGAAAATACAAATATGCCTTAGAATGATGAAGTTTTACATTAACTAGAATTACTCCATCTAAAAAGTTTATATAAACTAGAAAACAACAGAAGTTCAGATAGAATGAAAGCTGGACATTGGTTCTAACTAGTCACTGAAGACGGTGACAGTCCCTTAGTCAGCAACTGTTCACTGCTAATAAACCTCAGGGAAAGGTGAGGTCTCATGAGCATCTTCCCTTCCATGAATCAAAGTTGAAGGGTCCACTCTTGTACAGATCTAGTGCTGGATCTAGCTCTGATTAGAACTGCTGTGTGCACCTGATTGCAATAGTAATGTCATATCCAGAAGACGATTTCCTTGTTCTCCCTGCAGCCTCCAGCTCTCACACTCTTTCTGCTTCTCTTGTGATGCTCTCTGGACCACAGAGGAGAGATGGAGGTAGATGCCTGCATTTAAGGCAGGGCCTGTAAACAAAACACATTCTCAAAACTTTGATGAGTTGTGTATGAGTCTCTGCATTGCCATGACCGACCATAAAAAGACCCTTCTCTAAGGTTCCCTCCCACAAACATTTTATTTATTTTACGTGTGTTGAGGAGGTTACATGTTACAGTTTCATGTTACAGTTTGGGTGCAAGTGGAGAAAACCTTGTATTAGTTCTATCTTTCTGCCTTATGGGTCCCAGGAAACATGATATTTCAATTAACAATATCTTGAACACTTCCTTTTAATTTGACCCAGGAATAAATTATTCCTTTGTCCAGCAAATGACTTAGTCACTTAGAAGCTAACTTAGATCTAAGAATGGCACGTTCAGTATCACAATGCTGCTGAAAAGGAACCTTTATTTTTTAAAAGGTCCAAAGCAAGCACCAAGGTAAGCTAGTGACTGTGCTTATTTATGATAAAGAAAAGTCATACAGTGTTCATAATAAAATGGTATGCTTTCAGTTCAATAAAGAAAATGAAATGTGTGACAAGTTTGTTAAGGTTTGGGATAAGTATAAATCATGTGTCAATTAAATTATTAAGAAGTTAGAAGACATTATTCTAATCTTGATACTGTGTTTTAAACAACAAATTCACCCATAATGGGTGATAAGAGCTTTGTTATAAGGGCAATGGCTTTGCATTATATATTACAGCAATACATATGGCCCCAGGCATACCCTGGAAGTCCTGTAGTATAACTCTCATGGACACAGACTATTCATATATGGAAAGTCCCCCTCAAAATATCATGTATTGAAAAATTATTTCCTGCTTGGTGGAAGTATATTAAAAGGTGGTAGAAAATATAGATAGAGCAAGGAATCATGAGACCTGAGCCCTTGGAAATTGTATCATGTCTAGGACCCTTTTCTGCTTTATTTCTTCTTTCTATGTCTCGGTTTCCTATCTACAATGATGTGAATAATCTCTGCCATATGCTACAATCACCAAGATGTCCTATTTCACAGTGAGCCTCCAATGATGCAGCCAACTGCCCAGGGACCAGTGTTTCAAATTTGAGCCAAGCATATTCTTTCTTCTTTTAAGTTATTAATGTCAGGTGTTTTGTAAGAGAAAATGCAAAAATAAGGAGCGTATATACCCCCCTTTCTGTCTATGTGTCCAAGGAAACTTATTCTAAGAATGCATTGTTTAGATCTAACATACAATTTCAAAACTTTTACGACCTTTAAATAAATTACACATGTACAAACATACATACATATAGACAGACAGACAGACAAACAGATTCAATATGGTTAGAGTACTTCCTGCTTCTTTGATCACACTTATGTTGTTTATGAGGGAGTTTGAGGAGTTTGCGTTACTCACAATTGTATTATATATATATATATATATATATATATATATATATATATTCATAAAGTAATATTAAAGGATTATTTTCATGGTATTATTTGTTGTATATTCAGCAAGGCTTAATGGCCTCTGTGACGATAAATAATCTGTAAATTGCAGGCGTTGTTGAATAAATTAAGCAATTTACAAAGAAAAGACAGAAAATATAGAAGATGCAGAATTATGTATTGTGTATAAAGTTTAAGAATAGATGGTGTGTCACACTGAGAAAGAGAGATGCATTTTGCGCATTTGTTATCTATGGGATTTTTTATCTTGCTGTTGGCTCCAGTCTGTATGTGTGTGTTGGAGGAAAATATGCATTCATTTCAGTCAAAAAGTGAATCCCTAAGAAGTTTTAAATGGTTTTATAATTTGTCTCTAATATTTTGAATGACCCTTCCAATATTCATGGCGAAATTCAATTGCCTCTCTAAAGGCAGAAGTGTGACCTTTGAGTAGTAGTGACCTTATGACTAGATTAAGGTTATTATCTTGAGAGCACACTAGTTATCACAGAAGAGGTTCTACAAGAAAAGCAAATTCAGCTTTGTAAGTTTTCTCTTGCTTCTTTCATGACTGCCTTTCACAGGAGACCCCTAACCATGTAACACTTTTTACCATGACTTTGGCACAGCCAAGTGTCCATTCTAAATGATAGAACCACAACTTTAAACTTTCCAGGTTTCAGAAGATAAGTCAAACAAGCTGCTTTTATTTATAATTTTCCAGCATTCTGTTATAGTCATAGAGTATAGGTTAAGTTGCTACTCTTTCAATGTAAATATCCAAAATAAACATATTTGTTCTTATAAATTTTACTTTAAGCATATGTTGACTAAAAGATATATTTTTACCTAATAGTCAGTATGAAAATTTGTAGACTTTTAGGTGTTGGAACAATTGTTCCCCAAAATTTCACATTAATTAGCATTATGGAGATATGCCAGGTAGAAAGTGGGATAGGAAGAGCTCGGTGATGCATCCGTTTTAACTTTTTATTCCCGTTAATATCATAATTATGCAGTGCCTTTTTCACACAGGATAAACTTATTCAAATAATAAAAAAAGGAATTTGAAGTCTCAAACATGCCACCCTTATTTACTAAGCTCAGATAACATCTACATACTAAGCTGTAAATCTTTCTCATCTAGCCCCACCCCAGCTATTCTTCCGCTTTAGTGAAAGTTCCCCATGGTTTTCCATTTTTCCTTCCGATGTCTCATCTCCTTGCTGATCTCATTATCTGGTTTAAATGTCAAGGGCTTGATTATAGTCACTCCCCTTTGGAATTAAAACACATCTAGCTTCCTACTGTTTCCTTAGTCAGCATAACTACCAGCAGAACAGGTCAGGAACATGATGGAAGACAGTCCCATCTAGTCAACTGAGATTTTGTTTCTTTGGGACAGGTTCCCATGTAGCCCAGGCTAGCCTCAATCATTTTCTGTTGCTGAGAAAGACCTTGAGCTCACTTCCCAAGTGCTAGAGTTACAGGTGTATGCCCCCAGGCCCATCATTAATCACTTGAAATGCTTGACTGCATTTCAGGTTGCTGGCTATCATTCCAGTAGTTCAGTCAAAATTTCCTGATGACTATTACTTAGTGGCTCCTTGTTCTCAAATCTCTTCTCTGCCTTGATGATTAGCAATAACTCTATGAGATATTTAATTGATGAAAAAAATCAGAAGACTTTAGGTGCCCTCATCTATGCCTAATCCTACAGGTTTTCACCCCCTTACTATGGTCTAAAGGTACACTGATTCTTTTATTCATATTAATCTAAGGGTTTGTTTGATTGTTGTTATTTTGACTCTGATTTTCCCCCTGACTGTATAATTTTAGAGATGAGAAAAATGAACTGTCCTCATTTATACCATAACATTACTTTTCTCAGTCAGGCGGTGATGATAAAGGTCTTGAATCTGAGCTACTAAAAGAACAGACAGGGCTATACAGTGAAAACTTGTCTCAAAATACTGAAAAGAACAAAGATTGCTTCCCTCTTGCAGAAGTTAAAACTTCTTTACTGGGCAACTACCAAGTCAACTCAGAAGTCTCACTTAACTGTTTCCTATTGAGGATTGTGTAACAAATTAGTAAAAATCGAGAGACAGGAATTAGGGTTCAACCTGAAGGTCAGAAAAGCAAAACAGCCAGCCACTGCTCTGTCTCTGTCTAAAATGGTGATCCTGCATCCAGGAATCTCAAAATAAGACTGTGTGTGAGAGCTGTCTCCTCCCATCTTATATTCCTCTCTAGTGCTAGGATTAAAGATGTGCACCACTACTGCCTTGTTTTTAGGGCATACTAGTGTGTCTACTGGGGCTAAAGGTGTGTGTCACCACTGCCTGGTCTGTAAGACTGATCAGTGGGACTGTTTTACTCTCTGAATTTCAGGCAAGCTTTATTTATTAAAATACAAGTGAAATATCACAACAGAATTGTTTAGTGTGACTGTTCTACTTCACTTCTGAGCCCTGCTTAGAGAGTATCCTCAGAGTTCCCTCATCCTTGCAGGCTGTATTTCGAAGGACATAAATTGGCTTTATGCCACATATTCACCTTCCCTTGGGTAGTAATGGGCATCGTCATTGTCTACTGCATCCATGTGGCAATTTCTTTCTGCTTAGTCGTTTTGCTTTAGGTGAGTAGTATCTTACCGCAATCAACCAGCAACAGAATTCACACAAGTTTCAGGCACAGTTCATATTTCAGATGGATCTCCAGTCTCTCCACAGTTCCTGCCTCACAAATGTACTGCTTGCTGTAGTTTCTTTGATTTGATGTCATAACCATCTCTGTTATGTAACAAACAACCTTAACATGTACACATATAAGTGTAATTTTGCTGCCCTCACAGTCTCTGTGGGTCAAGAATCCAGGCATGGCACAGCTAGGCTGGCTTTGTTCTGTTCTATAATATTCTCTGGAGGTTAGGGGTGACTTGGTAATTGGTATTTAGAATCCTCTCGTTTCTATTGACATTAACTGGGAATATGAGTGAAGTTTTTGGAGAAATACACAATCTGACCTTTTTCTGCTTGCCCCAAAGCATTTGGAATTTATGCACAGTTATTTGGACTTCAAAATGAGTTTGCAAGTTAACAATGTGAACGTGTTCTTACTTTTATGGGAAAATGTAAAAAAAAAATGCAACACCACTTCTGCACTCTTATTGCAAGCAAGTTACAGTATTACTTATTGAAAGGAAAGAGAATCTGATTAATTAAATAAAAAGCCCATAGTTTAAAAAATGTCATCTAGGAAGGGGCAAACAGTGGAAGCCAACTTTAAAACAATTTTTTCCTCTCAATAAATTTTACTAAATAAATATTTTCTTCAAATACATTCAGGGTCCTATGTTTCATTTGTGTATAAGCTTGATCTAAAAAGTCTGAATGTCCGAAAACTTTATTATGCATTTCCCTAGTAAATTATATATTCTGTAGTGTCACCTTCATTTGGAATGCCACCTCTTATAAAACTTTCATATCCTGTTCTATAAAGGGAAAAATGAGAGCGACCTCTTCCAGAGCCCTCTGTCCTCACCTCCCTGGCCTTCACCACCCAGGGTTACCCTGGACAACAAACTCAGACTTTCAGGTAATGTTCAGGATGGAGTCACCTTTTTAGTTCTCGTCATGAGAACCTTTTCTTTTCCATTGTTTCCAAACGAAGAGGAACTTTGTCCTTTAAGTTTAAACCTCTGGCTTAAGTTTTAGTTCTAAGGATTGCTTGCCTATTATGAGAAATGTATACGTAGAGAATTGAATCATCTTTTCAGAAGAAAAATAGCTTTCTCTTTAATGAGATAGTCAGAAAGAAGTAGCAACTTCGTATAGTCGTAAATCCTTTTGGTTTTCTATCAATACAGGGAGCCTAGATATTGCTATATGATCAAAAGGTTAGTTATATCTTTATGAGGAAATTTGCATCTAATTTCCAGTTGAAGTATGAATTTCAGCTTTATCATATTTGTCATGCTATTTTTTTGTATAAACTGTGTTATGTTTGTCTTGGAATTTCCAGCTGAATTTTAGTTTGTGTGTATGTGCTTATGAGTGAGTGTGAGAAGGGCAGGGTTTGTAGCTGCAGCAGTATTTTGAGTCATAACGAAAAGGACCACAGAAAATGATCACATAATCCTCAATATGTAATTGGCTGGCAACAGCAACTGGGAGGCTCCTCTACTTTTAGAATTTTAAGTTAGACTATGCCACTGTCAGCTTCTGTGCGGTAACACATGCAGGTGATCTAAATTTTAGGGAACATTGGTTTATTTGTGGTCAGTAAGATAAAACTTTAAAGGTTGAAAGAAAATCAAACCTTACATTTCCCTGGAAAGAAGTCATTATTTTCATTTTTGTTAGTGGTAATTATGATAGTAAACATAAAAATTAAACCCAGGATATATGCCTTAATTAAGACCTATCGCTAATATCTCAGATCCTTTCAACTTCATTTTAAGTGTCTCCAACAGGAGTAAGGGCATTCTTCCTGAGGCACGATAACAGTAGACACAGAAGGCAAACCAAGAGCTGAGCTGGGAGATGCTTCCCCTGAACCTCTTGAATATTGGATGTCAAAGGACCTAAAGAGAAACTTTAAAACTTTAGCCTTTGTGCTATAAAGCTAATCTCTAATCTCTGAACTTGTTGAAAGTTGGCTTTTATTACCTCTTTCTGGAGAATGGCTCTTTGAACATACAGGAAAGTACTTGAAGTCAAGAAATAGCAACCTCAGTAAAGCCGATATAGCCAATGGTAAGGCGAATTTGAAACATTATTCAGTGCCTTGTGCTGATACTTGAAAGCCATTGTGTCAGACTACTTGTGGTAAAGTGGCCATCAAGGATACTTCTATTAAGATATGCATTTTTAAAGTAATTCCCTTATTCTTATTTTCCCTTTTGTTTTTTAATATATAGTGATAATCACAAAACAGAAGGAAGAAGAATAGAGATTTGCTGTTTATTAAATGTCCATTTATTGATTTCATAACAATGAAGTTAGATATCAGCTAATTTACACAACTAAAGTTTATGCACAAGATGGGAAGAGCAGATACACTATTACATGTGTTTTGTATGCAAATGAGAGAAGAAAGAATCAAGTAGAAGATACTTCGCATGAATAGGATTTATGAGAGCAAACAGATAACATATAATGGCAAAACGTGGCTGTCTTTGTTTTATTAGACTATAGAAGTAGAAAAGCAAAAGACAGAATTTCAAAAGTAGATTGTGTCTGTTTGAGAAATATGGATGACTACAATACTCAGAGGAAAGATGTTAAATGTTATAGACAAAGGAGCAACATGCTCAAGGGTGTTTACCATCAAGGAAAAATTGACAGCATCATGTAGGGAATTTGAGAAACTGGAAATGACAGAAGCAGGGATACTGATGGGAAATAGATTTAAATTCTTCAGTAAAGCAAGCATAGACCTGAATATGACTGGAAAGGAGGAAAGGCTAGATATAAAAGCTGTTTAAGAGTTGTGATCAATAATGTAGCATGTCTAGAATCATTAAAATAGAATGCAGGAAGATTCTAATGCTCTACAGTAAAAGTCCCTGGAAGCTAAACTACAAAGAGAACATTGAGAAGGGTGTTAGGGAATAATTAAAGGAAATATAAAACTATTTAACTTTTGATATTTGTTTTTGTGTGCAAAAGAAAAAATTAAATATATTTTTTTTCGTTTTCTATTTAAAGATTAAAAGTGTGGATATATGAACTTATTTTATGTTTATCATTTTCTTGAGTAAAATTTTGAATTTAACAATTCTAAGTTTGCTACCCATTCTGCTTGCTGGGAGGGTTCAATAATAAAGGTAGTATAAATAGTAGCTACTGTGAATGATAATTTCTATAAATTTCTAAAAGTTATGAAAAATATTGGGATCTGTATTCACAGCTCAATTTATGTGAGTTAGGCACTAGTCTGCTGTGTAAAGCAATACCAAGAATATCATACCAAGAATAAGACATTTATAGTGAATTACAATTTTTAATATATTAGCAAGGAATATAAACTTACACGTTAAAGATTTTTATTTTACTTATCTACTTTGAGTCAAAGAAACATCATCCTTAACGACTTAGGTTTAAAGCTTTGCACTTTTGAGTGATTTACTAGTTGCTTACATGTACGAGACCTCTCCTTGCAGTATCTACATTTTCCTATCTTCATTTGTGAAATATACAATGACCTTTTAAATATCAATGTTAACCACATTAGTTATTAAATGAATTGGTACTGTTCATGTAATGAGAGGAATACTGAAAGCAAGGAGATATGAAATATAAAAGACTTTAATTCTTTTATTCTGTGTGTGAAAACATTCAATACCAAAACTAAGGGCAGGTCAGTGAAGTGTGTGTGTGTGTGTGTGTGTGTGTGTGTGTGTGTGTGTGTGTGTGTGTGTGTGACTTAAGAGAGATGCATCCTGCTTTTCTGGAAATTGCTTTTCCTGAAAAATCAAGAGTTACGAGGAAAACATTTGTCACGCCTGTTGTATGAGATTTTGCCCAAAAAGTACAAGTATTATTTTTAATTCTTCTTGGTTTTCTATCGGAACTAATTGAGAAGAACCTGTAGGTGAATATGCCACACACTTTGATGGCAAGATGTAGAAAATAAAGATGGAACTGAGTTGGAAGATTTCTCTCTACCAACTCATTTTGATAGTGATGGGGTGGGTACTGTGCAGGCTTCATGGGAGAGAAAATACATCAGTGGTCTTACTGAACTGAACAGCCTACAGTCTATAATATCAAGCTTGCCTAATACTTAGCTGTGTGTCTCTACAGCTACTTCCATCTAGATGTAGCCTAGGCATAGATCTGGGAGTATAGTAGAACATCTTTAGTAACCATTTCATTGATTTTTAAAAAATTATCATTGTTAAAGGATCAATGTGTCTCAGGAATAAAAACGACAATAATAGAAGTGTGAGTGCAGAAGTAGACTTTGGAAGGAAAGGAGGTATGAGGGAAATTTGTGCTTAAATTAATGATAATGAACATTATGCATATATGAAGTTGTCGAATAATAAAATTCATAAAAGGTTCTATATCTTTGCTTTTCATTCATTCAATGAATATATAAAATTCAGAAAAAAAGATTATTGAGCTAGCAAGATCTATCAGTGAGTAAAATGTTTGCTGTTCAAATCTAATGACTTGAATTTGATCTCTGGCGCAAGGCAAAGATGTAAAGAGTAAACCAACTCTGCAAACTTGTCCTCTGCCTGACATATGGGCTTGGACACATGTGTACCTTTCTTGAAACATGCATTAATTTGTACGTGAACATGCATGATAATAGCAGACAAAAATAATATTAATAATTCTTGATGGCTCGATTATGCTCATGTGGCATTGTAATTAAAAGAACTATATTTTATTTAACAGAAGCTTTACAAATGAAAAGAAAAATGGAAAAGCAGTCTTTCTTGATTTGTGTAGTTTGGGGGTATTGAGAAGGGGGAAAATGGACAAGAAATTTTATTAAAAATTGGATGAAACTATAAAGCATGTGTCCACTGTATTCCTCTATCCTTTTATTTCATAACTATGTTACTTGAATCTATCAATTTTCATGCAGTTAATATTATATTTGCTCATTTCAAAGATTAATTATTCTTCTGTTTAGAACAAGCAATAAATTTAGTGTTGTTGGATACATATGTGACTCTACCAGGGAACTCCTAAAACTGATAAACATCTTCAATAATGTGGTAGGATACAAGATTAACTAAAAAAATA